TGAAATTGACGGGGGTTGACCATCAGTGTTTCATGTAGGCGCTGACGCCGCTTAGCGTTTAAGGTGCACATAAAAAGGCCAGACTTTTTCACGCGTTCTAAAACGCGAAGTCACCACAGATAACGTAAAAAAAATACGAGTATCTTGCAGGTGTGTCTTGCGTCCTGTTTCAAATAGCTCCACGTAGAAAATAAAGAAGGAACATTTATATTTCACGTCGAAAAGACGGGCGCTACTTTGGAACTACATTCACTGGTGGTAGGATACACGTGATTTGGCTCCGCAGCTTTCCCTTCAGTGCCAAGAAAAGGTTTTGCCGAGTAAAGCGATGCGTGAACGCTTCGCAAGTTAGCACGTGGTGCCAAATGTTAAGTGCACAAATTGTGCACAATCTGAGACCACTAAGCACGCGTAATTTGAATGTGTTGCTACTAAGGGTGTATAGCAACTTGTTAGGCACACCTTTGAAGTTAGGACTACATCACTGTCGGAAAGGACTAACGGCATGTCTGCTCAGCTGGCACTCTTAGTCACAATGCACGTGATCCGGGGACATTGTGGCCAGGAAGAAGCTCGCCAACAACCACAGCAAGCAGCGTTCCCGGTTTTAGACTAAATTTGTCATATTGTTTTTTGGATACGTAGTTGGCGAGCTGTATGTGAGTGGTGTTGATGCCTTTTTAAGGCGGTTGCACACTGGGTTTTGTAGTGAGAGCTACATTAGCCGTATTCTCGCCGTGTCGCTGTAGCCGGTGGTCGAACCGTGAGCTGAGTCGTTGCCTAAAACTACAGCAGCTGGCAGGGCAGCTCGCCGCTCCATCTGGCATGACGTCAGAGAAGGAGCTGGTGAAACCGTGTTGCAACACAGGAAGAGCCGGTGCTGAATTGTATACATAGAAGGGGCAGCTCGGTGGGATTCGTCAGCAGATATGGAAAGCGAGTCGAATAGACTGAAAGAAGCTAGACGTCTGAACAAAACGAAGATGATCCAGGGAGTGGAGGATACGGATGAGTAACGACTCGCACGCTCCGAGAAGTGTAGCCGTATACATATCCAAGCTAAACAATAAGATTACCCGTACTTCTCGTTACGTATATACAAGTATATACTTGAGTTAGACCATGACCAAGCTTTTCATAATACTCGGCGGAAAAAAAGGCATTTTTTAGCAGCGTAATACGTAGTTAACGAAAAGAAACAAGTCATCCTACTCGCTATGCTACTCGAAAGCCACCCTTTATTCCGCTCCATTTCTTTACCTACTTTAAAGCCAACAAGATTTTCCCCCGCTGTTTCTGAGTTGTTAATAATGAGTATTATTAATGAGTGCTGAGTAGACGACGTTACGAGTGATCTGATCCTCTCGTTTTCCTGAGCTGAGTGCGCTACTAAATAATTTAAAAACCACCGCTTGAACGCGATTTTGGTGAATGTTTGACTCGCGCTTCCCGTGATCAGAAAGAGACTCACAGAAGCGCGAAATAGGATATAAATAGATCCGCTCAGCATAACTGAAGAACCTTTTTCGTTTCACTCAAGATATTTACTGTAGTTCAACTGAAATCTACATAGATGAAATAATTAAAAGGGGACGGTGATTGAAGACCGGAGACGCTTTATTATTGATAACTGAAGTAGGACAATGAGTTTTATAGCTGGGCATAAGCAGTAAAAACAAGCTTTATATCCCGAATTTTCCTCCTATCTATGTAATCTGATGCGGAGATGCGGTGATGGCGTAGTGGTTAGAGCATCCGCCTCGCATGCAAGAGGTCCGTGGTTCAAATCCCGGTATCGCGCAGTTCCCAACCGGATTAAAAAAAAAAATCCGCGTGTTGATGGAACTGCATTAAGAGGCCTGGGGTGCGGCCTCACCGGCAAACACCGCCGAGAACGCACTCACTCACCAGAGAAGGATTGGCCACCCTGGTGCAGTATCTGGCCAATACCTCCCACATGCTTACGTCAAATAACTCACGGCCCTCAGTCCCCAGCAGCTGCGAAGCAACTGACCACGGCGGCGGTCAGATCTGCAACGCAGCAGAGGGTGCTAAAAATCTCTGGATCCGAACAGGCCGCCATTGGAACCTGAACTTGGCAACGTTTAACGCTAGAACCTTATCTAGTGAAGGAAGTCTAGCTGTACTATTCGAGGAGCTAGAGGGTGTTAAATGGGATATAATAGGGCTCAGTGAGGTTAGGAGGACAGATGAGGCCTATACGGTGCTACAGAATGGGCACGTCCTTTGCTACAGGGGCTTGGCAGACAGAAGAGAACTGGGAGTGGGGTTCCTAATTCACAGAAACATAGCTGGCAACATAGAGGAATACTATAGCATTAATGAAAGGGTGGTAGGTATCATAATTAAACTGAATAAAAGATACAAGATGAAGGTAGTACAGGCTTACGCGCCTACATGCAGCAATGATGACGCTTCTGTTGAAAACTTCTATGAAGACCTGGAATCGGCAATGAGTAAGGTAAAACACAGTATACAATACTGATGGGAGACTTTAATGCAAAGGTAGGGAAGAAGCAGGCTGGAGACCAGGCAGTAGGAGATTATGGCATCGGTACTAGAAACGCCAGAGGAGAGCTACTAGTAGAATTCGCAGAACGCAATAATTTACGAATTTTGAATACCTTCTACCGAAAACGAGAAAACCGCAAGTGGACATGGTGGAGCCCTAATGGCGAAAATAAGAACGAAATAGACTTTATAATGAGTGCACACCCTGGAATCGTGCAGGATGTAAAAGTGATTGGCAAGGTTCGATGCAGTGACCATAGAATGGTACGGTCTCGAATTCACCTAGACTCGAAGAAGGAACGACAGAAACTGATACGCAAGAAGCCAATCAATCAGCTAGCACTGAGAGGGAAAGTACAGGAATTCAGAGTGTCGCTGCAGAACAGGTACTCGGCTCTTAGTGAGGAAACCAACCTTAGCGTAGATACAATGAATGATAATCTGACGAGTATCATTACGGAGTGTGCAGTGGAAGTTGGAGGCAGGGTAGTTAGACAGGACACTGGCAAGCTTTCCCAGGAAACGAAGAACCTGATTAAGAAGCGTCAAATCATGAAAGTGTCAAGTACAACAGACAAAATAGAACTGGCAGAGCTTTCGAAGTTGATTAATAGACGTAAGGTATGCGATGTAAGAAGGTATAACATGGAGAGAATTGAACACGCTCTGAAAAACGAAGGAAGTGTCAAAGCATTGAAGAGGAAACTTGGGATAGGCAAAAGTCGGATGCATGCACTAAGGGACAAAGAAGGCAAAATAACTACCAATATGGATAGGATAGTTAAAATAGCGGAGGAGTTTTACAGAGATCTGTACAGTGGCCGAGACAACCACGACATTAATACTGTAAGAACTAGCAGTAACCCAGATTACACCCCACCAGTAATGATAGAAGAAGTCAGAAAAGCTTTGGAGAGCATGCAAAGGGGCAAAGCTGCTAGTGAAGATCAGGTAACATCAGATCTGCTGAAAAATGGAGGACAGATTGTGTTAGAAAAACTAGCCACCCTGTTTACGAGGTGTCTCCTGACGGGAAGAGTACCAGAGTCTTGGAAGAACGCTAACATCATCTTAATACATAAGAAAGGAGATGACAAGGACTTGAAGAATTACAGGCCGATCAGCTTGCTCTCTGTAGTATACAAGCTATTTACAAAGGTAATTGCTAACAGAGTAAAGAAAACATTAGAATTCGATCAACCAAAGGAACAAGCAGGATTTCGAACAGGCTACTCAACAATTGACCACATTCATACTATCAATCAGGTAATAGAGAAATGCTCAGAGTATAACCAACCACTATACATAGCCTTCATAGATTACGAGAAGGCGTTTGATTCAGTAGAAATATCAGCCGTCATGCAAACACTGCGGAATCAGGGCGTAGATGAAGTATATATAAACATTCTGGAAGAAATCTACAGGGGATCAACTGCTACCATAGTACTTCATAAAGAAAGCAACAGAATATCAATCAAGAAGGGTGTAAGGCAGGGGGACACAATTTCCCCAATGCTATTTACCGCGTGCTTACAGGAGGTTTTCAGAAGCCTAGAATGGGAACAGTTAGGGATAAGAGTCATTGGAGAATACCTTAGTAACCTGCGCTTCGCCGATGACATTGCATTGCTGAGTAACTCGGGGGACGAATTGCAACTCATGATTACGGAGTTAGACAAGGAGAGCAGAAAGGTGGGTCTTAAAATTAATCTGCAGAAAACGAAAGTAATGTACGACAACCTCGGCAAGGAGCAGCACTTCGAGATAGGTAATAGTGCACTTGAAGTTGTAAAAGACTATGTCTACTTAGGGCAGGTAATAACCGCAGAGCCGAACCATGAGATTGAAGTAACTAGAAGAATAAGAATGGGGTGGAGCACATTCGGCCAGCACTCTCAAATTATGACAGGTAGATTGCCACTATCCCTCAAGAGGAAGGTATATAACAGCTGTATCTTGCCGGTACTTAGCTACGGAGCAGAAACCTGGAGACTTACAAAGAGGGTTCAGCTTAATTGGAGGACGACGCAGCGAGCAATCGAAAGAAAAATGGTAGGTGTAACCTTAAGAGAAAAGAAGAGAGCAGAGTGGATTAGGGAACAAACGGGGGTTAAGGATATCATAGCTGAAATCAAGAAGAAGAAATGGACATGGGCAGGGCATGTAGCGCGTAGACAGGATAACCGCTGGTCATTAAGGGTAACTGACTGGATTCCCAGAGAAGGGAAGCGGGTTAGGGGGAGACAGAAGGTTAGGTGGGCAGATGAGATTAAGAAGTTTGCGGGTATAAATTGGCAGCAGCAAGCACAGGACCGGGTTAACTGGCGGAACATGGGAGAGGCCTTTGTCCTGCAGTGGACGTAGTTAGGCTGATGATGATGATGATGTAATCTGATATTTGAACGCTTTAAGCGCTGAAGACTGAAGTGACACTTACATGAGTTGATGAGGTGTTTTTAATGTCCATCAGCTGCTGACGACTCCTCCTGTGGTCTCAGCGATCCAGTCGAGATATTCAGTTACCCTGGTGTACACATCGGGGTAGTCGCGGTGCGCACAGCCCGAACCGAAGGACACTAGGCCGGCCAACACCCAGCTACCATCGGCGCGTTTGCACTGGAACGGGCCGCCCGAGTCGCCCTGCAAATGCGCACATGTTGTCGCGTCAAGCCATTGGATGACAAATAATATATGCATCATTAGAACTTTCCCTTACGCCTGGGGCTGAGGACTATAATTTCACAGTTATGTGTAGCTTGTTGCAGATAACACGGTTTAAAAGATTTCTGTTTGTCTAACTGCTCTAGGTTTGTTAAAAAGCTCCTTGTGCAGAAACACACGTTTTCAACCACAGCTCAAGACTTCATACTAATGTAATTATCGCCACAGTAAGTGCACATCTTGTGTTGTGTAGTCCAATGGTTACCACATCACTTTATTCATCTTTGATTCCCTCACTTCCTCCAACAGTGCAGGATGGAAGACAGACGTTGCTATATGGTTGACATCCCTAAATTTTTTTCCTTCTCTTTTTTTTTCGGTCCAATTCAGTAAGAATTTTCTAACGTAAACGTCATTAGTCAACGTTTCGCCGCCTTCACTATCAAGCCAAACGTCATAACTGCTACCTCTTATTGAGGAATGGAATGGAATGAAAATTTTCTATTTCAGTCCTGCAGGACGCGCTTAGCGCGTAGCGGGTGTCTCCCACGTACGGACTGACAGGGAGTACCTGGCGGTCGCTTCGTGGGCCTACTGGACGGCCCATTGCTGGTCAGCGAGAAGTGAGCTCCTGAGGGACCTCTCCCACTTGCTTGAAGTAGAGTCGGGAGGAGTTGTTCTACACTCCCAGGGCATGTGTGCGAGTGTCGATGTGTGTCCACATGATGGGCATGTGTCGCTGGGGTATGCATCAGGATAATAAACGTGAAGTGTGGCAAGGTTTGGGTACGTGTGTGTCTGTAATAGGCGTAGGTTTAATGCCTGCGGTCGGTTAAGTTTCGAATGGGGGGTTGGGGGGTGGAAATATTGAGGAGAAAGTTTCTGACAACCCTTAGTTGCATCAGTCGAGGTTAGTGAGCGTAGATTTAATAAATCTTGATCTGTATACTTTGTAAGTATGAGTATTGCATCTTACTCCACTTACAATTTCACTTACTCCACGTCAGCCTAATTTTCATTTGCAAAATCCTTCAACTCTAAAATGCACGATGTTGTTTACTCACATAACAGGATCCCCGGCCTCCTTCCAAGGCACCGGCACACAGATGCCAGTTGCGGATGTTGATGCGGAACCTGCGCGCATAGGGCCCGTAGCAGACATCGTTGTTGTAGACCGGCACGCTTACTTCGCGAAGCACCGTCGATGGAGCGCCACCTTGGGGAACAGACCACAGAGCATCTCTGTTATAAATATTCTATGTTACATTTTCGCGTTTTGTGTACTTCCGTTGTGTGCTCATAAATTTTCGGACGCCATTTTATGGAAACACACTGATATAAGGCATACTGTAGTTGCATCCTCTTCCTGCCAAGTTAAGCGGTACTGTCGAGCACTTTTCACTAACCAGGTGTTTTAGTGGTGCGTCTTAAACCTCACATTACTTGCCAAGATGATGGTGTTTCTTCAGTATTACTGACCAGCACTCACTCACTCACTCACTCACTCACTCACTCACTCACTCACTCACTCACTCACTCACTCACTCACTCACTCACTCACTCACTCACTCAGTCCGACAGGGATTAGTCGCCTGTGCTTTTTTTTCGCGAGGCGGGGGGTGGGCGGGAGGGGCTAGTACGTATCGCGCTTCACCACAGGTTGTCGACGACAGCGTGCACATAGGTCACTTCGCTTACGTTAGCGGCCGTGTTTGGTAAATGAGCACCTTGTTCAAACACAAAATAACAAATGTGAAAGCACGTGCTCGTACTATGTGTTTTCTTTTCGTGTACTTTGCGCTTGAGCAGCACGCCGCGAGTTTCGAGCTGTTTGCCGTTCTTCGCGTGACATTTCGATTTCTCGCTCTCGAATTTATTGCTTCGCTGTTGTGATGAAACACTGCGAAATAAACGCTGAACTACCTCTGCGTGTAAACGTTTCACTTTTGTGTTATATTAATTCCTATGATGGAGACATCAGCCATGTTTTTTTTTTGTTTTCTTCCATGCTATGCTTTTCTTTCCCCTCCTCCTTTCCCCTCCTCCTTTCCCGCTTCCTCACCTTCCCATTGGTCAGTGGATTCATGCGTTCAAGTCTTGCCTCGCAAAAAATGTTTTCCCTACAATTTTTCTCTTTTTCTGTCTTTCTCTGTTTCTCTCTATATATCTCTCTACTCGCTATCTGACTCGCTCACCGGAGAAATAGGCACACGTGTTTTAGGAGCGAGGCAGAAGATGAAGACGACTACGCTGAAGAAAACGCGTGCATATTCATGATGATGATAATTTTTTTCGCTGCTCACGTAACAGCGGCCGCGTTGAACAGCTTCGCAGTTAAAAACCTGTCTCACGCAACTCAAGGTCTTTTAATGCACGTATTCATTAATTACCGTTGATAAAATCGCTCAACTATTTCTTAACACGAACGCGTCTACTCGCTAGATTTGATCTCGTTGCGGTCAATGTATGAAAATAAGTGTGACAACGTCGCACTCACCTCCAGACGTGGTGGCACCCCATCCCGTGGAGACGCAGTTGTTTCCCTCGAACACTTCGTCTCGGTGCGGCAGGCACACGGGCCTCACGCGGCGGCTGAGACGCACCCTTTTGGCGAGCTTGATGAGCGCGATGTCGTTGTTGTAGCCTTGGTAGCCGCGGTACTTGAAGATCTGGCGCGCGTTCACCTGGATCTCCTCACCTTCGAGCACGCTCTGGTCGTGCTCGCCCACGCGTACCTTGATGGTGCTCGCAGGCTCGATGACGTTGCCGAACTGCCTGCGATGAATAAACAAGAGCGTGCCATATTTTCAGGCGACCACGGCAACATTGCGACAGGGCACTTGGAGTCGGCATTTGTCCGAAGACGCGATCGAGTTTGTTTACGCCTGTCAAACGTTATATGCTATATAGAACGTTTAACCTCTAGTAACAAGAATAAAGAATAAGGCATAGTGGGTCAGGGGGCAAACTGGTGCACTAGTCTTAAGGACAGCCTAGTAGAAATCAAGAAGAAATGGACCCTGGGCTGCGCGTGATGCGCCAAGGCACGATAACCACTGGTCCCTGGATTCCGGGAGAAGGCAAGCATGCGAGAAGGGGGCAGGAAGATAGTTGGGCAGATGAAGTTCAAGAGTTTTCGGGGATAACGTAGCTGCACAAAGCACAGAACTGGGTTGATTGACGAAACACGAAAGATGCCTTTGCCATGCAGTGGGTGTAGTCAGGCTGATGATTATGGTAATGACGGAGATCCCGGCATCGCAATGTGTCTGAACCGGATGGCTCAGGAAGAACAAGCCATCTGTATTACCGCGAAACGAAGTCGTACTGGTTGCGTCGTAGCCCGTACGCTGTGCGGTAATCGCTCTCTGGTGACGTCGTAGTTAGCAAGAGTCGTACTCACGTGACCACGCAGTGCGCTGCCGTGGCTACCCACTGGTTGCTGATAAGCGCGCCGCCGCAGAAGTGACGCGTCTTTCCGTCACGGCCAGCTTTGCGAAGGGAGACCTGTGGTAGGGAGCTCGTTTAGACTGATTGATACTCACCCTAATATTGAGCTGACTCATTTTGTTGAAAAAAAAACCCGTTACTTAGGGAGCCTCGCACACCTTCGTGGAGCAATAACTGCCACCATGCAGTGTTCTCTTAGTGGTGCTTAGCAACCCGTTCAGAAATTACCTTTTAAGCTTTTCGCCTGCACTGAGCGTCATGTTGCGGTAGTTTGCAATTAAGACATTGGTTTATTTGCTTGGAGGCTCACGACTGCTGAGCTTGAAGCCAGCCTGAAGGAGACTTGAAGTATGCCTACACTAAAACAGTGTGCGCATTCGAATCAGTAAGCTCGAGTTTCTACCTAAAGGCATTGCAGAGAACGCTGTATTTTTTATGATGGCTCTAAATATTTGCTGCTGTTCCGCAGGTTCAAGGGTTATAGCGAAGAGCAATATAAAATTTTGATTGGAATCTAAACAGTTATAATTCTTGTCGTACCACTGCATAAAAGTTGATCAGCGGATTAAACAATTGCTAAAGTACCTGATATATCATTAGTTCTTCGAAATACAAATAAGTGGTTGTATAAGAGTGGTTATGGCAGCCAGAAGTAAATACAATTCTATCGCAGTTCGATTTCGAGGGAAGGTGGTGGTGGTACGCGCTTGACCTCAATGGTGATTAGAAATTTGAGCTTACTTGAGTTGCACTAATTCAAGGATTTGTGCGGAACAGAGAGGGACATTTACGTGTACCACACACTTTTGCAATGGCCGCTCGGAAAGCGAACCGGTGCGGTGAAAACAAGCCGGGCTTTGTGCAACGTTACCCTGTTTTCGAAATAGACGCAGTTTTGCGTCCATACTTTTTACCCAAAATCATAACGCGTCACTAATATAGCTCAATAATAATACTAAGGAAGGGTACAGATGAAGTAGAATGCATTGAGGTTAACAAAATCAGGGAAGACCCCTCTATGTCGCGAATCATTCCAACCAGTCTGTATCACAAGCTGTTTTTGTGAGTTGAGGGAGAAAATGATAGACAGTTGACTTCAATGGAGGTGTAAACTTACAAAAGTACTGTCATACTACATGACAAATTTTCGGCGAAGGTGATACACAATGAATGCGATATTAGATATTGTAACATGGGTTTAACACAAACGCGCATGTGGAAACATTAAAATAGCGGTATTTACTGACATTTAGAGAGCGATTCAACTCAGTTAGTCACATTCACGTGCGGGTGGGGATGTTATAATTTGGACGATGTGGTCAATTACTGCGATGGATTTCAAGTTTCTTGAGTGACAGAAGCATATTCATGGAAACAATGCAAGGACAAACTTATTACCATTCCGTCACACAGGACTTTCCACAAGAGTGTTCTAAGTCCCCTTTTTTTCAACTGTGTAATGGCGCCGTTACCGGGAAAGTTAGCAACTAGATTCAAATATTCACTCTATGCAGATTACATCTGCATATGGGCCTGAGGAAAAAGATATATAAGTCTCTCGTATGCGAAGACAACGGTGTTACCTTTCACTAGGTGACAGAGGAACAATTTTAAACTGACACTGGAAGAACAGGCGTTGACGTTGGTGAAAGAACGTAAATTTCTTGGCGTCATCTTTGAAAGACACCTGATGTGGGCGTCGCACATTCGTGCACTAGAAAAACAGGTCAACCTATAGTATGAACGTATATTCCGTCGACTCGCTGGCACAACATGAGGGATCAGTATCTTCACTATTGCAAGTGCATAACGCCCTAATAAAGCAAAATATTGCTTCTTCGGCACCGATTGGCCAGGATTTTACAGCAAGCTACCGGCGAGCGTCTTCAAAAGTTACTGCCGCCCCGTCATGGTGGTCTACTGGCCAGGGCACTCGACTGCTGACCCGAAAATCGCGGTATCGCATCCCAGCTGCAGCGCCTGCATTTCCGATGGAGGCGGAAACGTTGTAGGCCCGTGTGTTCAGATTTGGGTGCACGTTAAAGAGCCCCAGGCGGTCGAAATTTCTGGAGCCCTCCACTACGGCGTCTCTCATATTCATATGGTGGTTTTGGGACGTTAAACCCCACATATCAATCAGTCAATCAGAAGTTACTACCAAGGGAGTTAAGGATGTGAGCCCCGTAGGCAACATCGTATTCTCTCGTAGTCGCTGAAGCTCGTTACCCGCCATTTTCCGTAATACAAATGGTCGAAACTTGTAGCCATGTTTTCCGTATTTTAACTCAGTGCGAGACGCATCCACTGAGCTTCACACTTACAAAAAAGAAATAAATAAAAGCTACATGACATTGTTCGGGAACATGAAGCATTATTACCGAGATATGAGATGAACGGAATAGATATTAATTTCCCCCCTTGCATGCTGCCAATATCAAAATATGGTAGTCGGTCGAGCGAATAATATCTAAAAGGAACATGTTCTTGAGATTCGCTCAGCAGCTAGCACTATTCCAGATTTATTCCCCATATCCGCAGTGTATGCGCGTGTATACAGATGGTTCTTGTCGGGCAAATTCCTCCTCTACAGCTTTTGTCACTCGATACTTGGCAGTACAGTAGACATTCAAATTGTTTCGAGTGACGTCTTCTACTGTTGCGGAACTGTTTGCTATTCTATCTACGTTACGCTTCATAACATCCGTAAAGGAGCCACTAAAATGGGTCGTTTTTAGTGATTCGCAGGCCACTCTAACGTCGCTACAAAGTGATGGAAAACTGTTTTCAAGTGATTCCCTGTTATATGAGACCTTAAAAGAACACACAAAAGCAAGAGTTGTTGATTTATATGAGGGGTCTGACGTCCCAAAACCACCATATGATTATGAAAGACGCTGTAGTGGAGGGCTCCGGAAATTTTGACCACCTGGGGTTGTATAACGTGCACCCAAATCTGAGCACGTGGGCCTACAACATTTCCGTCTCCATCGAAAACGCAGCCGCCGCAGCCAAAATTCGATTCTGCGACCTGCGGGTCAGCAGCCGAGTACCTTAGCCATTAGACCACTGTGGTGGGGCGCAAAAGCAAGAGTAATCAACCGCGTTGTTGCATATCACTGTGTACCAGGTCACTGCAGTATTTCAGGAAAAACAGCAGTGGACGCCACGGCGAATAGGGCCTGCTAGAACGAAGGGACAATTACCCTTCCAAATTCACGTATTGAAATCTGTCTACTGCTGAGAGAGATAACCTGTAGCGTCACCAAAGACAAATAATTGGATTAAAGGTCTAAATGTTCAGACGTATATTTAGAAGATCCTTGCATAAAACTAAGCATTTCATCAGAGTTGAGAGAAAATAGGAGATTTGAAATAATGGTACACCACCTACGGCTTGATACAGCATTTACGCAAGACTTCCTATACACGGGATAAAACGTGCGTTTAGTACGGAGTGTTCCTGCGGCCACCCTGGCGAAGATATACATCATCGCTTCTCGAGTGCCAGAAATAAGAGACACAACGCAAAGTACTACGACGAGCAAGTTTGCAAGTTTTAGATAGGAGGCCTTTCACAGTGAAGAAATACTAAGTCCATGACCAACTGCCAGTCTTCAGAAAAGAGCGCTTGTCCCCTTCAAGAAGTTTTTTGATGAATCAAATATTTTATAGAAATATTGAACGAGTGTATACGATGTCCCCTTTTTTTTTCATACTAAACGAAGTGTATAATAATGTATGTAATCATATCTCAGTGTGAACTCACCTTGTGTGTGAAACTTATGTATATATAAACCTATTAGCCGTATCTGAACTGACCTTTGACGTTTGGCTTTTGTTTACTTTCATATCGTATGTCATACTATCTTCCATTTTACGCCCTTATTGTTTTTTTACGAAATATTTTGTCTGCCAAGTGTAAAAGATAGCCGGTGCCACCATACTGACACCACAATCTCCTATTTCATATTTTCGAAAAAAAAAAAACGAAATCACCAACAGCGTACACCTCTGTCATCGTTTGCATTGCATTGGTCTCAGCCACTGAGCACTTTAATATAAAAGCAAGCCAACTTTACACTTTGAAGGCGAGTTTGTAGAAGGGCTGCTTTGCACAGCTAATGTGTAAAGCGGCGCAGCATAATGTGGAATGACTGGTGTTCTCTGTTGAATTAGTCGCTCTATGCGTAAGCGTATAGAAAAAAAAGCAGAAAAACGCTCATTGACCGTCCGTATACAGACACTGTTCACCTATGACACACGAAGGCCAGTCGATTAGACCCTTAACACATACGGCACCACGCTGACTCAGTTACTCTTGCTAAGGGAGTTGCGGGCTGCATTTGAATTTGGCATTTAGCTGATGTGTGCTGTGCCTTTTGTGTATGTTAAATAGCATCTGCTAGTTAATATTAAACCAAAACCTTTTACTATTTTGTCCACTTTTCACTGTGCATGTGCGAAACGACAAACTATGGGACCTAGAACGTTATAAAGAAGGCAATGATGCAGCCGGAAACAGCTTTCTGGAGAAGGACGCAACCTACAATAAAACTTTACAATTGCGTATTTTTTATACAACTCTCGAAGGATATTTTGAGCCTGTCATTTGCGCTTGTCACAGATCTTCACAGTGTGCATCGGCACTCAGTTTTGGCTAACTGTTGTAGGTGTCTGTATAATTGTTTCTTGGTAAACACAAGTGTGGTAACAGGACTTCGCGTTACATTTTTAAAAGTTATAGTCTTTTTTGGGATACTTGAACGCAGAAATTCTTGTCTGTCTGCCTGTCTGTCTGTTTGTCTGTCACACTATTCAGCTACCCGACTAAAGTTTAAGCATTTGCTGAACGTCCAGCCACCTTAAACTGGCGCCTGCGTTCACAGTTGTGAACACTGCTGATCAAAAAGCAAATGTTAGGCATATCTGAGGCGCAACATCAATGCGTATAAAGTGGTGTGTTCCTTTACTACAAAATACACAAATACATAATTATTAGGACCATGGTGTTTCTTAGTCTGTACTGAAAATGCAACGTCATGCACGAAAGAATGTCGGCAACTATGTCATCTTTCAACGGAATTTTCTAAAGGCGATAGTCTTTATTGAGGACCTTCGACGCCAAAAGTTTTCTCTGTCTGTCTGTACATTTGTCTGTTTGTCTTCGGTTGCGATTTTTCAAATGGCCAACCTCATCTGCAGCGCCCACCAATATTTCTCAAATTTCAGCGTTTATACTTGTGCGATTGTCAATTAAAAATCAATAATTGCACATATATGAGGCACCATAACAACACCTCGATGTTTTGTATGTGTGCCTTTTTACTAGAGAAGGCACACACAAGTAATTCTAAGGACCGTAGCGTTTATCACGCTGCGCTGACAGTGCAACGTGATGGTCAAAAAGGCAAATGTTTCAAGCGCTCTTCTAAGACGACATAGTGGTGGCACCTGCCCTTCGCTTTGTGTTCTACACTTTATCGCCTCCGAGACAGGCGTGCATCCTTCTCCGCGGGTGCGCACGCCTTCCTTCGTTTTCGAAGATAACTGCCAGATAGCGGTCATGTCTAACGTGCCTCAATGCGCTCGTTCGCCTTCGCTGCACAAATCGAGGCTCTCTAACGCAGCGCTTCCTGAATACAATTCACTGATTTTGCTCGCGCAGAACATAAAATAAACGTTTTGTTCACTCTCTCCACACGCAAGAATACCGTCTTTCGACGGCATTTGCAGTGAAACATGCAGATACGATGCAATTTTTTTTTCTCGGCGAGCACCCAGGACTGAGGTTTCCGTCACAAGTGCATGTCGTTTATTCGTTCCCAACAAAGCCAGTCGTTGTAGGTATGCGCATTTTCCTGAACCAAGCTCACTGTCAACATCGCCTCTGGCTAATTCGATTTCCACACGGGCGACCCATACATCACTAGCGACCACGCTGCCACTTCTTCGCTGCTATGTATCTGGTGGGATCAAGGGGTGGGAAACGATCACAGAATCCAGTAACAAAGAAAAAGAGGATGCGAAACCCGAAGCTTAGCGCAGTTTCGCGCTGTACTAACACGCTGAGGACGTGCGGTGTCCGTGACAGCGACTAATGAATGCAAATGTCCCCAGCTTTAGCAACATCGCTCTCTCTCGGCGCAAGGCGAAGCGGAGGTTCTATTTAGTCCGGCATCTGCGCCTAAGGGGCACAGGCTTGCTCATTTTGGAGCGTCGCATAAAACGCATGGGCCTGTAATTCTTACACCATTCTGTTCCCATTTATTTGTGCTGTGCTGGGGAAAAATACCAATATTTGTAGTGTACTCTGTTGCTTTTACATTTGAGAACGTTTTAATTACTCGGTGCTGGTTTTGTCTTCACAAATAGCTCACTCATCGTTCATACACGAGGGCCTCTCTTTACTCTCGACTTTGACCTACAGAGGGCTACATTCGTTCAGGAATACCACAGCGCCAGATTACTGTGCCGCTGATGACGTGGATCTTCAATAGCATCAGGCAATGTTTATGATACAGGTCATATGGGAAGGTCGCCGTGTATATTTAGCGTCACCTTTCGAGTGTGCATGTTAGCAAATGCACTACAATTTAGCCCGAGGCTTAACGCTGTATGAACACGTGCGCAAAACTGTGTGAATCAAAACATGAAGAAGGCTTTAAGTACACATCATTATGCGATGCACAACTGCTTGTTCGGCACATCCTGCATGCAGTTATTTCTACAACGAGCTAGTCATTTAGCCAGTTATCCTTTAGGACGTCTTATACGGGCTGCTGATGCATCCGATCGCACTGCTTTTCCGCTGTTAACATCAGTGTTCGAGTATAACGCAAGCCTAGTTTATGAACATTTATATGTGGCGCGCATGGCACAGTGCACCTTCATAAAGCGTAACACCTCCTTTGCAACTTACACAAAATAGATGAGCAAAAACACGTGACTCACTTGCCATGGATACTCCCCGGCGTCGGCTGGCTGTCCTCCCACGATGCGCTCAATGTTCTTCTCGTTGAGCAGGCTTATTCCACAGCCTGCGTTTCGCGTCAAAACCGACCACGACATTCTGTGTCACAATTTCACACTTCCTGATTCTTTGTGTTCTATCTCTACGCATCCCTCATAATTGCCTTCTTCGCGAAGTGAAAGAACAACAACTTGCCCTCTTAGCGACGTTAACTAACGGCAATCTTAGAGGATCTTTGTCGGACTTACTGGAAACCCCTGCTCGCATCAGTCGTGCAGCCCTGGAAGCAGGGCACTATATACCCACCACAACAATACAAAACTAGCCCTGATGCGAATAAACGTTTTTTTTTCTCTCTCTCAGCGCTTCAAAGATGAACGCGTGGACATCTTAAATTGTGTATGCGTCTGAATTACTGTGAGCATAGATTAGTGGCACATATATGACCGCTATAAGCAGGCCCCATTAAAGTAGGCGAACTACGCTACACTGATGATAACATCTGATACATAAAACTTTTCACGGCATTTTTATTTTGCCCAGTTTGAATATTTTCAAGCGTGTACTGATATGAGAACGAAGTGTCGGATGGCCCCTATGATTTTTGATTATTTCAGTCAAATTTGTTAACGGTCTTATACGCATGGACTGTTCTTAGCTCTCTTAACTCATCTAAAATGATTGAACTAAGTGAGGTATGCTTTAGCATGAGCCAGCTGCCTGGCAGTGCACTAGAGTGGTGTCTCTATACGTCATTACTGACCGCGTATCGCGTCACCCGGTGTTACTCATTACGTCGTCGAATTGTGTAACCGCGAAAAGTATGTACCACAATTCGTATTTGGCGCCTGATATCCGTGTAAACAATGGTACTCAAGAAGTTACCAGTGAATGTTTGCAAGGAAGCACTTTCAAAATGCTCCTCTGCGACTTTCACTATTTTTGGTACTTAACAACTACGAATAATGCGAACATGTTACGCGCCAAGTTCTACTTCCATAGAAACGGCACTTTATGAAACTCGCCCCCTTTTTTGCTATCGCTACGCTCTTGTTTACCCGGAGGGCCCTAGAACGCTTATGCGGTGTGTTTCACGTAACTAGAACAAATGTGTAGAATCAGAGTTCACAATCACCTTGGTTTCTCAGACCGTTATTTTAAGTGGGACAGGCTGCAAATTTATTACGTTTGATAGGCAGATTTATGCGTTCTGGTTGTCAAGTACGAGTTGTTTTTGAAACGTCGCAGTTTTTCAGGTTTTAAATGCACGAGAAATACTATGACGTCACTACGTTATTGCGCGTCCCGATAGTGTGATATAAAAAGAAGCTTGCACGATTGCCTTCAGAAAAAAAAAAGACAAATGTGTTTACACGATCGTAAAGTGACATCCTGATGATCCAACTAGCCCCACGAGAGGACAATTAAATTGGCGTACTTATTACATTAACACATTGCTTGTTATAGCTCCACTGGACGAAGAACAAGACGCTGTGGTTTGATTTTACTAAGGTTTGCGTCTAGCTGCCTAAAGATTGAGTTTATTTGCGCAAAATTCTTGGCGTAAGCTGTCTACAATGCTTTCAGGTTATAGTTGGTTAGGCCCAAATAGACACATTACAGCTGATCAGGTAGACGCGCTTGAAGCACTGTTGTGGTATCGTTACCCTGACATTGCACCTGATTTCACAGCACCAATGTTCAGAAGCGTGTCACGATTGCCCATGCATTCATTTGAGGAATCAGATTTTATCAGTGCTAACGGGACAATTTTGCTTCACTCATTTACACTAAAAATATTCATCCGAATCTGGAGAGCTCAGTTGAACTGTTTCATCTGAATGTGGAAGAATGTGTGACAGCTTGATTGGTAGGGATCATGACATCTGAAGATATATCATTAAGAACTCCCTCTCCCCCCTCCTCGCCTAAACACTGGCGATAATGGAAAATAGCTAGATTCATAACAGCCAGCCACTAATGTTCTCGATAAAATGAGTTCTTAATGCATGACCATTTTTTTCTAACCAATGCGTGAACAGCACGAAAAACACATATGCAACAGCTGTCGGTAGCGAACCTACTCGTCAGTTTTTTATATTTTTTCTATAGTTTTTTGTTTAATGACGCTGTGCACACTGTCTATTTTTTACATCAGAAAACTCATCGTTCACGTGGTAAACTGTTTTCAAAATTTATGTTTTTTTAGCTTCTCGGTGTTCCAGGCTGATACTTGATTCAATGGTTACTTTTGATAATTGTATTTTCTGGGAAAAATACATATATGCATTTGCGGTGAATCAATATTTTTTGTTCCCAAAAGCGAAAGAGCTGTGGCAACTGATATTAATCTGAAAACGACGGGAAGTTTTATACATATTTCAATGCAGTAAAAGCAATAAATTTTCAGACTACGCAGCGCGAAACTTACTTTAACACACGCGACTGGCGGTGCATGAAATCACGAAAATCACATCCCGCATCAAAGCGAAATCGCTGAGGGTGTTTACTTTTATCAAAGCGACTTAACTTGGAACTTAGGAGCTGATCAGCTGTATTGAATTTACATAATGCATAAATATACGAGGGCGGATGATGTTGCAGCATTTTTTGCTGTTCGTAGTAGGCACTACACACAAGCTCTTGAAAATTCTTATCCGCCTTGATGTAGCGGCCATTTCTGTGACATAATTTTAGCAAACATGTTGAATGATAGCAAAAACGTACTGGCTCAGGCCTGGAAGCTTACGATTACGAAGGTGACCCTCAATAATGAGTGTCTCTTCTCAGTGATGCAGTTGTTTACCTTGACAGAAACATTACGACAACTAAAAATAGGTCGTTTGTCAAAGGAGCCGATTAAGGTACAACTTGTGGCCATAATGTGAAAAGGTAGATAACCTTTGGAGACGCCAGAAGACTATCAATGCCTGGAGGAGGTCATTATTTTCTTTGTAACGTCCTCTTCGATGTGCGCTGTTGTACAGTAAAAAAAAAACACCGAAAAAGTAAACAACTTGTAAGCAATTCCTTTCCTAGCTCGAATCGAAATGAATACTTTATAACTGTCAGAGACGCAGTCGGCGGACCAGCCGGATTGGGCTTTCCCACTTTTTTCAATCAGGTACCTCATGATACTTCTAGCTTCGCGCCCGTCGCACCGCGGCATTTATACGCCAATCTCATTCACTTTCAAAACGCATAGTCGTCGCTCCACGCCGAATAAACCCCCCTGAGGGACGTTGCCGCGCACTCTCGCCGTAAGGGCCTTTCATTCCGGAAGCTATATCACTGCAAGAATAATGAAACATGCCAAAAAGGAAAAAGATAACGCAATGGACTCAAATGTGAGGCACTCCAGCTGAGAAGCGCGCGCCCGAGGCGACGGCGTCGGGTTGCGTAGCGAGGTCGACTCCGCAAAGGTGAAAAGCCTCCCCTGCTCACTGTTCGTGGACTGCGCTTGGGACAGCAGGAGAAGACGCGCGGCCGTCACCAGCAGGAGCGTCAGCGGTGTCGCCATGTGGGAAGCCATGTCGGGAGGAGCGTGCCGACTGGTGCGGGACTCCGATTTATAGCCCACAGTTCGTCGTCCTTTCGCGCGGCCCAGAACCGGTGCATCGAGTCACCCTCGCCCAGTCTGCCACGCATGGGTCATGTTTTTTTTTGCCCCAGGGTGTGTTGACCTGCGCGGGCATACGATAACAGATGCCCCACCAACAGGGGCGGATGGCGGTGTGTTGGCAAGCGTGGCTCGCCGGGTGGGGGGACGCATTGTTGGGCAAAGCGCTTCCGACCGAAAGCGCGTCCGGACGCGTTAGTCACCAGGACAGACTGTCGACACGACCGCTTGACCACTTCGTCTCCCTCCCTCCCCCCCCCCCCCCACCTTCACCTCGTGAGAATCGCTCAGTAAGAAACATGGGCTCTGTCTCGGGTAAAGACGTTATCTAATCTATAATGACCTCTAATGTAGCTCTCAAGGTCCTTTTCAGACCGAAGCCGCCCGACTCTAGGAAGACCATGAGGACGCTACCTTTTTTTTTTGTTATTGATTCATCAGTGAACTTAGCTGCTTTACATTACGCCTCGGCTTGAAATGCACGTTTCTGGTTTGGGATGATGTCATTCTCTTTTGTTATTGTTGTGGAAGGATCCATTCATTCTTGAAAAACAATTTTTTTTGCAGGCACTTGCACCGTTCAAAGTTAGACGTATGAGTGGATATCCTTGCAAACGCGGCCTCTGCAGGAGGTGCGAGTTTCATTATTTTAAGCTAGTCGCACATTCGGGCGCAGTTTCTTCATCTTGTCAATGACAGTACTGGAGCTCTCCCTTGCCCTATATCTCTCTTTCTGACCCGTGTTGTATTTGTCAAACATCTCTCTTGATGGTCTAGTTGGCATCACCGGCGCATCCACAATGTCTACAAGACTCAACCAAGCTCTTATAAAAACCTGACCAATAACAGCACCCAAATTAAGCATAAAGTTACAAAAAGTGTTATTATATCCACGAAGTCAATCTATCCATGAGACGTGAGGAAGTTACAAAACGTTTGAGGGTGTTTCAACCAAAACCATATATTGCCGTTGACGTAGTTTAGTTATATGATGCTGGATACGTCTGGATAAGTATTGATGCAATAAACTGACATGCATATTTACAACTATGCGAGGCGTTGAAAGCTCACTTCGAAATAGCATGTTTAAAACGTCCAAACAAGCAGGGGACGCTTTGGGCCCCTCGAAAAAAGCCAGATTTTCACTTCTTGTAAACTGCGTGGGGACGTTATGGCAAGCACTTTTTTAATAGGAGCATTGGGCTACCAGCCACTGATGACTCGTTTTCTGATGCTGGGTATTTCTTGAGCGAAGTATGTTCCCATTTGATGACCATAATTAGGCTTGCTTTCGTGATTTCTTTAGTGTCACGGCAGATTGACAGATGGCAGAGAAACGTAAACTGCGAATCCTGCAATAAATCGTCGGTAGGGAATTGCATCAAAGGTGGTTGCTTCAACACATCTTTAAATCTTACCACAGCAGGCAACCTTGATTTTCTCCCTCATGGCACGTCCAATGAGTGGTAAGTGAAACGAATGGTCGACGATGCTGTGTTTTAGAACGGAACGGGAGATCACACATACTGTGCTCATTCATGCATTATAAGTCTTATAGTGTATAAGTATGTACATAGTGTCTGTGATTGGTTTGTCTTCTTTACATACTAATTGTGTTTGTGTGTTTACCCTGTACATTACTGTCTTGATGTTGGGATAGCCGGCTCTAATGTAGCCTCCTTTCCAATATTTTGCCAAGTAGAAATAATAAAAAAGGTGATCACAATCAGGACCTATTGACAGTGCCTTCTATTTTCTTAAACCACTGCACACACAGCATGCCGCCATTGTATGGCTAGTTTCGTAGCAGCGCGTTACAAATGCACTGGCAGTAAACTCCGCTTGAAAGGTAATGATCATTGTCCCCTTTTCGAGACCATCGAGTGTGAACTGTTGTTTATTTTGTTGCAAGTAGTGTACGAACAAGCGCGAACATGGAATTTAGGAAGTATTATATTTTGCTAACGAGTAGTACCAGAAGTAAATAGGTAGAAAGAACTTTCAAACTAACCCTGACACATGAAAACACGACATTAATGACAACCACAACAGCGTCATAAATGGCAGGAAAACACACACGTGCAAGGAAACGTCATAACAAAAACTGCACAGTGACGTTAAATAATGACAAAGACGAGAAAAAACCTAGAAACGTCAACATTGGATACGAGAGCTCAAGAACAACGTTGAAGACACTAAACAACAACAAGAACAACAACCACAACAACGACGACAACAACAGTGACAACAACAAAAACAACAGTTGATACTATACCTTGCCGCTATTTGTACGAACTCCATCTGCAATGTGATCCCAATATATGAAATAGACTATGACCGCACATATTGGGCTCATTCATGCATTATAAGCCCTATAATGTATATAGTATGTACATAGTGCCTCTGATTAGTTTTTTTCCCACTTTATTCTTAATTTTTCTTGTTTGCGTGTTTATCCTGTACATTACTGTCATGATGTTGGGATAGCCGGCTCTAACGTAGCCTGCCTTCTCATAATCTGCCAAATATAAATAAAAAAGAAACAACAACAACAACAACAACAACAACAACAACAACAACAACAACAACAACAACAACAACAACAACAACGACAACAACAACAACAACACTGAAGGGGGCGACAGCAACAGAAGCAACAAGACAACTCATCAACGACAAAGAGAGCATCAAGCTACAGCAACCACCAAAGCAACGACAGCAACGATGTCATAGCGTCATTGCAAACCGTCGTTGTCCCCCTCTCATTTACAACGGCGAAGATGTGTAAGCAGTGCCCCCATGAACGTGCGCACCGTTTTGTCTGGACAGGCAATGCTCATTTATTCACCCTCTTCTAGCAGGGCGCGAGTAAGCGGTGATGGTGTCTCGTATCCATCCGGCAAAGTAGTGCACGCGCGTGTACACGTCCGGGTAAGTGGATCGGGCGCAGCCGGAACCAAACGACGCCACTCCCAGCACGTACCAGCGACCGTCCGATAGCTGACACGACAGCGGACCGCCGGAGTCGCCCTGCGCGTGCATATTGGCGAGCTTAGTTCGGAAAAAAGAATGTGGTACTCACTCAGACTGACTCGAGAAACATATTTTGCGCTTTGGACTCACTCAGACTCACGAAAACTCTCCCCATCCGAACACACTCGCACTCAGACTCACGAAAATATTACTCACCTGGACTCATTCTGGCTCAGACTCACAGTTACATCTGAGTTTGAGTGAGCTCAAGTTAGCCGACTCATGGGTGAGCTCGCCTACCTATGTTGGCGAGCACCGCTTACGAGCTCGCACAAGAAAGATAAAGGAAAGGTACTCTGAGACGCCGCGTGGCGCGATGTTACGGAAGTTGTGTAAGTGTCTCGTAGATGTATATAGCCACATACAACTTGGGAAGTCCAGAGTGGCACCACCCAGACGACCAAAACGCGGCAGTCGATAGTCTCGGCGACTGAATGAATAGTCCCGCTCACACATTCGGCTATGTTCGTCAAAGGCGTGGTCTCCATTCGTTCGTCTCATGACGTCGGAATGGTGTGTGCGCCCATTGGTGGAAGCTTGTATGTATACGGCGTGTAGGCTTCTATGCCGCGGACTTCGAAAAGTTGTATCCGACTACACATATAAGTAAGCCTGTGGCCTTACTATTTAAAAGACAATGTTTACCTCGACTGCTTCCAAGTGTATTACGTAACGGAGCGTGCCGACGTATGATGCCCACTTTATGGACAAAATAAAGACCAAGATAAGAAAAACTAACAAAAAAGGATTGTGACAACAATGGCAAAAAGAAAAAAAACAAATGTTAGGAAGCATCACAAAATAAAAGCAAACAAACGCTAAAATGGGAACAGAACATAAATAAACAAATTGATAAATACAAAGCGGCGTCGAAAACATCAACAAGACTAATAACCTTCTGCATTGTCTTAATTTAGTCGAAATTTACTGACTGACTTCGTGCCTCGTTGGAATCGATGACGTCTTATAGACAGGCAACACGTATTTGTGTCACGAGTAACTATTTTATTTAGCTAAATATCCCCTAATATTGATCTATATTATTGGACTAACCACCAGTACTTTATTTTTAGGAGTGTGCGAATAATGAGTGTTATAAGCCAATTGAATAACACCCGAATAGTGATAACACGGAATCGAATGCGAATATAAATGTCAAATTTGGATTGAATGGTTTCCCAAAAATTAGGCAATACTTTGTAAAGCACCCGAAAGCTGGTAAGGTAACAATGTTGAAAACAGCTCGAAATTCTATATTTATTCTAAATCAAATATACCCGAGCTTCAACAAATGAACATTAAGACTACTTCTAACGGACAAAAAACACCAAGATTATTTAGCCAGACTCGTACACAGCAGCAGCTAGAGCTTTCGAAATATTTACTTCGTAACTATAGGCTGAAAAACTGTAGTGACTACAGTATTAAAAGTCGTTATTTCTGAACAGCTTTTGAGTAAAACTGATACAAAATACTAAGCAGTTTTCATAAGTTCATATTATCATGAATAATCAAGATAGCAGATTGGTGACTCTGTCGCCAAAGCAACATTAGTGTTACAAGCAAACTCATCTCATCAATATAGTGTGGATAGTTCATCATGGGATCAATATATGACCAGTATAGTGTCAATAGTTCTGTGAGTACATGGGCGCATTCATCTGGGTATTTCGATGAAAGAAACAAAAATGTTATCCCTCGTTGCTCTAGCATCTCGTTCTTTGAAGTATTTTTTTTTGTTGCTGTATATTCGAAAGACATTCGAAATATATTCTGTATTTTGAATAGGCGCTATAAAATTCGAGTAACGAATCGAGTTAGACGCTATTCACTTCCTTATTTGAAATTTTTGAATATTCGCACAGCTCTTACCTTGCATGTGTACGCTCCTGCCCACAAATATTAAAGCAGGTGTATAGGAAATAGCATCGCTACTTATTACCGACATCTTCGTAACTCCCATATGATAGCTGTAGCTTATTCCTAACTCTTTATATTTGTTATGTTATGCAATATGCGCACCACGGTTCATTATGTTTGCATTATTAGATTAATTACACTGTTAAAAGTTTCAGGATAGTAAGAATAAGGTATGCGGGCCTGCCAGTATAGACGTAAAAGGTGAAACGTTAGGCTCAGCTAAGCCTAATTGCCTTAAACTTTCAGAGCAGGTAGACGGCGTGCACCAGTAAGGCGCCTGAGCGTGTACACATAGCAATGTGCGGAATATACTCACGTAGCACACGCCTCTTCCGGGACTTCCACCGCATAGGTGCCACAGCCCGATGGGCACGTCGTAGATGAAGCGGCAATCGCTGAGTGGCCGAAGCGGCACACGTAGCTTGTTCAGGATGTCAGCGGTTGTGCCCTGAGTGTGTTCGTTGCCCCAGCCGGACACGGCGCAGCTGAGGTTAGACAGGGGCCTCAGAGACGTGGGCGCCAGGCAAGCCGGCCTAACGTGGGGGGATCGCCGAAGTCGCTTGGCCAGCCTCAGAAGTGCCAGGTCGCGCTGCAGCCGTCCGTAGCCCGGATGAGGGATCACGTGCGTCACTCGCACCTGCACCTCGCTGCCTTCGGTCCGTCTCTGGTCGTACTCCCCAACGCGAACGAAAAGCTCCGAAGGAGACGCTCGGCGACCCTGCGAACTGTGCGCGCGGAACAAGTTACTCATGATTGCACGCCATACGGAAAGAAAAGTTCTAGGTCCCCGTAATGCAAAGATTCGAAAATGATATTCCTCATAAAAGACGTTTCTAATTTAACGAAGTTTGGACAGACTCGTAAAAATACTATTGCATAATTTGCTATAGTAAGTACTGCTAAAAAAGTTTCAAACTAGCAAAAAAAAAAAGAAGTGCAGTACCTTGTCGACTGAAGGAGACCTATGCAGGGTCAAGAAGGCGGGACGCTGGCACAGTGGGGCAGAGGTACAACTTCCAAAATTGCGCAAACCTAAATATCAGCGACTTATTGAACCAATTATTTGATTTATTGAATCTCATACAACTTTGGACCACTAAAGCAATTCTTGATTTGCAATTTATAATTCATGGACGCCTGTCAGTTTATTTTTATTACCTTGCGATTGTAATATGCCTGCCATCTCTAACTTAAAGTTGAAGAGCCTTGGATTTTTTTAGCCTCTTCCTCTGTGTTACTTTCTGTTTTTGTTTAATGTGAATACGTGGGCCGGTAGGCTGCGTTAAAGCCGGCTGTTTCAACATTAATAAGTGACATAAGGACCGAGTCTAGCAATTACTGATTGATATCGTAGATTGCTTCAAATAGAGTCGATACAGATGGCTTTCATGGACTTGCATTTAAAATTACTAGTAGATATGGCCATTAACAACACAATATCGTGAATAGAAGCAATGATGTCATTCACAGGATTATATGAAGGTTTCTTCCTCTATTTCTGTTCGTGTGTCTTAAGTGTCTCGTCAACATATACAAGCTTCGCGTATTATTCGTTCTCTGGCCTTCTACCTCTATACAATACGCGATACGCATTTTACGCATTTGTTCTGTTGAACATACCGAATGACGCACTTTCGCCGTGGCAATACCGCGAACAGCAACAACAAGAACAACAGCGACGACGACGACGACGACGACGACAACAATGACAACGACAACGACGATGAAAGCAACAACAACAACAACGACGACGTTGACGACGACGATGACGACAAATGTAGTCCTTATTGACCTACCACCTTTTTAAGATTGGCGCACGCGTTCACCTGAACATCTAATGTCGATTTATTGACAATACTCTGTAGGAAACGGAGAACCAGACTATATACTCAATGTCATTAAGCTGGTACTATGCCCTACGTCTCTGGCACGATCGCTTTCGAAGACGCACGTCGCATTGTGCTGCTTGTGAATCTGCGCATGAAGATCGAATTGTGTTCCGAAATGACCCATGGAATTTATTGTACAGCCTGAACAGAGGACCTCACGAAGAGCGAGTCGGGTTTTGTGCCGTCACTCTGCCTTATCGGCCCACGCCTCGTATGATTAGCAAGTGCTTTCGGTGTAGGCTGGTTCCCGTTCTGTCCACACGGATTGTACCGTTGCGATGCAAATGCATTAGCACCTGCTCACATTGCAGAGCGAGGACATCTCATTTCAGGAGAAAAAAAAATCATTGTTCCGCGTCAGGATTTGGGCGTGCACTTGTCGCAAAAAAATAACACTGTAGTCTATTCACACGCCACGTCTGTCAAAACTGATACATGCGCAAGGGCGTAGCCATAGGGTAGCACCCCGAGCTTCCCCCCCCCCCCCCCCCAGTTTTTCGCCATTGCATACAGAGTGAAAGATGACCATGTTAAAGGGGTTCCCTCCACGAAATAGAGCAGGTTTCTCTCGAAAAAAATTTCTGGCTACGCGCCGGTACAGGCGAATTGTTATATCACGAATAAAATAATGAAATGGCTTCACCTCTGAGTTTACGTTTAGACTACAGCGACTAATTCAGGAGACATTGAAAACAGTAATTCAGCTTAGTCCGGTAAACGTTGGATCCGAAACTCCGTTTCCTATAATCTTGTGGTAAGGCGTCGGACTGTAGAAGAAAACAAAAATGAAATCCGCATTTACATTTCTCGAACCTCTTGCCAAAATTTCTGCGTTGTATAAGTGTGACGTCAAAATGCTAATTTTCTTATCTCGTATTTAAGCAGTTGCAAGTAACAATGCAAATAAACTGCTACGTTCTAGTTGCTTTAACAGGGTTGCGTCGCGCTGCGCGCAACATTGCATGCGCCTGCCCGCGCTCCGCATTGAAAAATTAGGGAGCCCCTATGCTTCGCCTTTGAGAGTTTAACGCGATAGTGATATCCTGTCCTTAGGGCGTACTTCGAACACTTAGTGTATGCACCCACTACGAGACCTTAAGAGAACACGCACTAGCGTGTGTGCCTATTGTAGTGCATGCATGGGTTAGCGGCTTTCAACCATGAAGTCATCGTGATAATCATATGTTCTGACGCCCGATGGTAATGTACGTTTGTACGACAAACTATAACTGCAGCAGTACGTGCATTTTGTAGCATGTATTCAGGGCACGTGTGTGTGTAAAGCATGAAAGTTGATTTCACTGCATTTCGAAGCAGTGGAAATTATTTTTACTGCATTCACAAGGAGACGCGTGGCTGTGTGATAGAACACCGACGTGTCACGCAAACGACCCACATTCCCCCTCGGACCCAAATTTTTTTATATAGTTATTTCATTTGCACCTTTCTCAATTTTTTCATCAGGCACAAGATGATGCTTTTTCACCCACAAGCAATGACGCCGGCGCTGACGCCGGAATTTCTGTAAAACGAGGTCTTTAACGGCGTAAAATGACGTTGTTTCATCGGAAAAGGGGGTCTTACTCTGGTTGCCATGTTTACAAACTTGCGATGCTCAGCTAACACAGCTAACTAGCTGCGCAAACGTGCCACTGGGGAATAAAGAAATTGCGAACTACAGTAGCTGCTAGCGGCGGCAGAGTGGTCTCAGTGGCCAAGAGGCCTCAAGTGGCTTACACTTGACATGAGAGCACCGGGAAACGGGAATACAAGCCAAACAACTAAGCTTTCAAGTAGTCCCCTCATTACTGCTGGAATACCTCACCTTCCAGTTGAAGAAAGAAAAAGGAAAAAAAAACGCGTTCTTCCACCGGCATACGCTTAGGCAATGTTGTAATAGCAAATGCCTAAAGAAACGCTTCTGACAGGGTGGGCAAACGAGCAAAACAAACAGACCTTCCGCATCTTCGACGTAAAGCGCGCTTGTCTGGCTGACGACGCAGCCTACTTGACAAGTAATTCTCTTGCCTGTGCTTTCCCTGTGTAGGGTTTATATTGGCGGTGTCGCTTCAAGAGGGTTTTCGGCCGTGGCACCTGGCAGAGGGAAGTATTCCGACCGGCTGTGTATCGTTTTCCGGGACACAAGATCTGCAAACACTTGTTCCTGCATCCAGAGTGAAGTGAACGTACGGGCGCATGGCATAGTATACTTCCTTTATTACTCAAAGCATGAAGGGTAGCCGATGACGCCTTTAAAGGCGAAAGTTGTCGTGCGACCACATTTAGGGACGTTCACATATTTCTGATGCTGTGGCGTTGAGATTACATGCGAACAGTTTCTAAATTTCCTGATAGTGGCAAGTTACCCGTATGGCTCTTTCCGCAAACCGAACGGCTGAGTCCTGGAACGATGAACAAACATGCAGGGCATGATACAACTTAATGATATTCCCTTTCAACCCAGATAGGTCGGGATATTTTTTTTTTCATTCCTATGCTACGTTCTGCTTATGGCTGCAAATAATATATTGCGTTTGAAGCAGAGAGCCCGAAAAAAATCAATTAGCCGCGCACAAAAGAAGACAATCTAGACTAAAAAAGCTGCACAGAAAAATCATTATAGACGGCGCACAATATCATTTCACTTTATTGCGGCACGTTTCTTGTTTTTCCCGAGCAGTAATGAAGTGTAAGTTCGATGACTAAAATCTAAACTTTTTTTTGTGATCTTAACAAATTATGAAGAAATTTGAAACATAGGAACTGATTCAGAAAAAATATTAAGACCGCACATTGCGAATGCGTAGTTTAAAATAGCTATTTTTCATTGTACCCGGTAAGGTGTCTCATGAGAAGATTTATGCAGTCATAGGTAAGCATAATGTAGAAATATGAGTGCACGAGGTCGAACGAGGAAAGCTCTTGACAGGAAAGACACTCAGAATGAGCGTCTTTCTTGTTAAGTGCTTCCTTACTTTTACCTTGTGCGCTCATATATTTCCACATCATGTTGTACCAATAGACCCGCATTCCCCTTTGTAGATCCTCACTGCCGAGAACCTGCAATACAAACAGCAACAGATCTAATACGATCACCTCTGAAATTGTGAGAGCTTGTTTAGTCCTTAATCGATTTAGGGGCAAAACTCCTTATAGCGGCACCCGTTCATCCCTCGTAGCCGTTGTAGTATGTAACAAGTATAACATTTTGGCCTCCAAGGTGGTGCCGAGGAGAGGTTTCTTCTGTGCGTTGTTGAACAATAAAAAATAATGCTCCATGTACATGCCAATGGTTGCTAATGGGGATTGAGAGACAGGAGCATTCGGTTTTTAGTTAAGGCGCACGCTGCGATCCCCATTAGCAACCATTGTTATGTACATTGAGCACTACTAACAAGAAATGGTTGCTACGTTATACTCGATGGGCGTAACCTCCTTGGTTTTAGAATGGTTTAGCGAGCGTTGGGCCGCAGTGCCATGAATTCAGTGAACTAGTATATACTATGAACTCGAGGTGGTTAAAGGTGGGAAGTAGACCCGAAGCGCAAGTCTTAAGAAAGTGTGCGTGTGCCACCTCTCGTTTAGTCCTTGGAATGTCCGCTGAATGGCGGTGCTTCTATGTGGCCAATATATGATAAAAAGATGCGAGATGGTGGTACTTGGAGTGTTGAATAGATGGACGAACGGACACACAGACAGATGCCTGGATGGACGCATGAACGGACGCAGAAGCGGATGCATGGACGAACGCTGAGACGGACGCACGAACAGGCGCACGCACGGACGGGCGGATGGACGCATGGACGGTCACACAGACGGACGCATGGACGGACAGA